CATCACAAGTATCACGGCCAACATCACTAGTGTATTAATCGCACCCGCACGCCTCAACAAATTTCAGATTGGGTTGCACGCCATCAAGTACTGTTTAACAATTGTATTATGTTCTCTCGGGCACGCGTAGCATGCAGCATACAGCACAGTAGCATGCGTTTGCAGCTGTGGGGCTCAGGCCTTGCTCGGGGGAAAGAGCAGGCGTAGTCCTATCGGCACCACTTTGTGTTTTTGACCATGCAATGGCATCTTGAGGGGAGCCTTAACGTTGTGATCACAGACCCAGCCCTCCCGAAACGCTTCGAGAGGCGGATCGAAGCCATGGTCCCCACGACGGTGCTCATCATCGGTGCGAGGGAGGATCCGCCAGTTCAGGCCCGTGAGGAAGTGCAGGAGGCTGCAGGTGGGGCTGCCAAGCCGCGCGCCATGCCAGACCCCCTCGACGACGCCCCGACCGAGGGGCAGGACAATGGACGCGTCCAGAAATACTACCCGAGCGACTTTCACTGCGACCCGGGCAAGCGCATGGACCAACTGATGTGCGCCGCCGAATGTGGTATTTCGCCACCTAGCCCGACCTTGCGCGAGGAGGCTAGCTTGGACCTAGAGTCTGAACCCCGTTCTCAATTTTGGGATGAGGCCCCTCCCCGCACCACTGAGGACACCGCGGGCGACGCCCGTGAAGACATGGGAACGCCCCCCGCGGCCCTTGGCCAAGAGCAGTCTGCCCAGCACGCCACGGCAAAGGCAGCGGATTTGCTGCTGACAGGCACGCCCCCTGGGCCATCGCGCCCAGTAGCTCGTGCAGCGCCCCGGGACGATTCAGAAGTGTTCCTCGTCGAAGAGAGCCCTCCTAAGCGCAAGGCTCTTGCAGATTTCATTGACGCACCTGGGGCAGGGACTTCCGTGCCAGGGGAAACGCCGCCCAAGACTCCGAGCGCCGAGGCGGCGTTGGAGACGCCATCGAAGACCTCAGTGAACGCCCCAGGTATGCTTGCAGAGCCACCGCAGCCCAAGAAGCCTCGCACTTGGACGTTGAGGCGTGATCTTCCATCTGGTAGCGAGCATTTAGACTGCGAAGACGGCGCCTCGTATGAGCGTCGCACGCTAGGTTTCCCGAGCCAGGAGTCGCGTTTGAACCCGATGGCCATGCTTGGCCACTAGCTTACGAGCGCAAGTGTCAAGGCTCGCCAATGTCAGAAGTGATCCGCAATACTTTAAGATAGACAGGAGGGGCACGAAGACACGGGATAGGTAGGATGAGGTGCATGATGATGAATCTAACGGTGGTCGCAAGGGGGGTTATTATGAGGGAATAGACGGTGAGAAGGATGAGGATGATATCGAGGATGAGGTTTAGAGGAGGAGGAGGAGGAGGACCAGGAGGACTTCCAATCGATCCCCTGCCTGGGTCGCAACGCCTCTGACCACATGCGAGTTTTTTGCGTTTGAAGCGTTGCGCGTGGAGGCCATCTCAAAGGTGCCAGCTAGGTTTTAGCGGCCCTGGGTCCCAGGGGAACTCTGTCGTAACAATGGTGCGCTCTGCAGCGTGAGGAGATACAGTGTGTCCTCCTGACCTCCTCTATTTGCTCATGCTCATCCTCTCCTCTTCGCCTACTTGGCCTCATGGTCATATCCCGTGTTCGCCCTCCGTTTGGCATGTCCTACTTGTCCGTCTCTTGTCCGTCTCCCCGATCCTCCGCTGTCTTTCGTCGTCGACTCTCTCCCTCTGTCTGTTACGTCGTATTCCCTTCCCCCACCTTCGCCATCCTCGTCGTCCTCGCCCTCCTCATCCTGCGAATGTTCTGGGTCGCATTCCTGCGTCATCGCACTCACCGTGGCTTGACGACTCTCCTGCAACACGTGTCTTTGCTGCCTCCTCTGCCCGCCCGCTAACGCTGCTGTTGGGTCGGCGTCGACTGGGCGCTCGCTGGTGCAGGCGGGCCGCCAGCGCCCGCCCTCTGCTTTCTGAAGAGAGGGGGGGGGCGCAATAAAAGGAGCGGGGGGAGGGTGGAGGAGGGACTGAATAAGAAATGTGACAATGAGGCAGAAGGAGGAGGATGATAGAGCAGAGCATTTGGGAGGAGAAGGAGGAATCAGATTTCAGACTGGGTGAAGCGGAGCGGCCCTGCCCTCCTGGCTTCTATAGTCGACTGCATTGCGATCGCACGTATCGACCCGTCATGCATTGTAGATGTGTGCGTATGTATATAGTTATCCTGCGGATACCACCACGGGTGCTATCGTGAAGGCTGCCACGACCCACGGGCAAGAATAACGAAGGCCCTTGCCCGAAAAGAAGCGCAGAGCGGAGGCGGGTGCCAAACTTGATGGGAGAAAAGCACCCTGTTCCGCCACCTCCCCAGGGGGACTTCGAGAGGAAGTGTAGGATGAAGGTGGGGAAGGATGGATAGGACTATCCACAATCCTCACTCCTCTACCCCAATGTCCTTAGTTTGTCTTTCGGGCCTCCTGGGCCTCGAGCCTCGAATCGAGCCTCGAGCAAATTGGAGGCCTATAGGGGGAGCTCACACAGTCACCTCTTCGAGAGGGCGCCTAGACGTGAGAATGAATCTGCGAAGTTTCATCGAGTTAGACACCTCGGGTCCCAGAAACCGGGGCCGTTTGGGAACAGGAGTGTGACCGCGAGATGTTCTCCTTTCCTTCCAGCGAAGGACCAAGTGTTGTCGATTCCCCTGACAGGGCACCGAGACGGCCCGCATCCTTCGCGAGGTCGCCGAGGGGGCTTGGCGAGGTTCACGGGGGGGGCCGAATGGTAACACCTAGGGGGGCGACCAGGACGTCAATGCATGACTAAGTCTCCCCAGCCTCCCAAGCGCGCGTTTGGCAAGGGGGGTCGAGCAAACATGCGTCATTCATCATATGACTGGGCGGAGTGGAAGGGCGAGGATGATGGGGGGGGGGGGAACGATGTGACAGATGCAGATCATAAACGAGGGCTTGGGGGATGCGGGTAAAGGCGAGGAGGCGAGAGGAATGGGGGAGGGGTGGTATGAGGAAGTATCGGCTACGGCGCAACAAACAAGGATCATGGCCAATGTACGCCTTAAGAACAATTAGGGTAGTCTTGGAAGCCCGTTTCCTATGATTGGGGTTTGGCCATCATTCACCTTCCCTGCCTGGTTCTCACCATCTCTATCCTGGTGGACCTCATCCGTGCCATCCTCATCACGATCCTTGCCATCCCACTCCGCAGCATCGCCCTCCTCCACCTCCTCGATTGCCCCTGCCTAGAGGCACGCCAACGTTCTGCAGCGGGGGGGAAGGAGGGGAGGTGCGGCAAGGACGTCGCGCGCCCAATCAAGTGCCTTCGATCCCCCTGGTTCCAAGCGCACCTAACACAGGCAGGGGACGGATCGTGACATCACAAAGGGTCCCGCCGAAAGACTCTAAGTCCCCCTTCCGTCTCATGATAAATGTGCACGCGGCTGTGGATTTGACTTGCTGCGTGCCTTCGCCCACGGTTGCTTCCCTCAGATCCAGCGATTACTGTCTTAGCCTACGAGGGGCCAGCATGGGGCCTCGGGGGCAGGTGGAGACGAGTGCCCGCGATGGGAGGAGGGATGCCCGATGAGGGAGGAAGAGAAGGTAGCAGGAGGGATGACAAAAGAGGAGGGGGAGGGATGCGACCGCCAGGCTCCCGAACACAAGCGGACCCCGTAAGTTCCCCCTTGTGGACCCCTGCCAGGCAAAACTTAACGCCCTCCTCTCCTCCTACATCGCAGCCTGTTTTGGCCCAACCATCCCTTGCAATCGTCATTCCGCGAGTTGCAGTGCTCGCTGTGCCCGAGAGCTTGCAGACCGGCTCCCGCCAGCTTACGGATGGGCGAGGCCGCGAGAAAGGCTCGCAAGGTGATCCAGAAATCGCTCGGCATGGGCGGCGACGGCGGGGCCGCTGACGCTCCTGCGCCATCGAACCAGAGCGTTGCCAGCGGGGGCACCGCCATATCGCTGGGCGGGGCCTCCGCCAGGACTGCAGGAAGCAAGCGAGCTGTTGAACAGAAGCTGAAGGAGGTCACGGACCGCCAGGCAAAAGTAGCCAGGGCACAGAGAACGGTCTGCGCCATCAACTCGTGTTCGAAAAAATTGACGGCCGCTGAGAAGAAGCGGTTCCAGATCATGTGCGGGGATCACTTTGACACCTACTCCATCGGCTACGCCTACTTGACGGACGAGGAGGTTGCCAAGCTCACCGAGACTGACGAGGGGTTTGCCAAATTCTTCGACGCAGCTCACGAGCACCGAGTGGAACAGGACGTGTACCCTTCCAAGTTTCCTGATACCGACGTCCACGTGGACACTGCCCAGGCCGCGTCTTGCGAGAGGCGCGTCGGCTTCTACACGAGGAGCGACATCTGGGAGAAGGTGGGGTACATGCCTGAGCAGCTGCAGCACAAATGCCAGAAGTTATGGACTGAGGGAGGCCAGGAGGTCTTAGGCGTCTTGACGGAAGAGACAGAAGGTGCGCCCCGTGTTTTCGTGATCTCGTGTACGAAGACCGTTCAGAAAACGGAGCCGAAGTCTCGCAGCTCCGCCACCATCCACATGGAGCAGCCCGCCAAGATGCACGCTCAGTCCGTGAGCGGCTTGAAGGCCGAGTACTGCCCCAGCGGTGCGCCGATCATCTCGCTCGCCACCCTTTTCGAGAGGGCCGCCAGGAAGAAGCAGATGGCAGAAGAGAAACAGCGGTTACTCGAGGAGTGGGGGATCCGAATCACATCAATGCCCATCTGAGGATGCCACCGACCCCCATCAGTTATTCCGGACCGCCTGGGCCTCGTGTCAGGGAAGGGGGGGGGGGTCAGGAAGGTATAAGTATAGATGTGATCGAATCTCCCAATCAGGAAGAGGGTTCCATTTTCGCGGGAGACGCCGACTTCCCAGAGGAAGCCATGCGTGGGTCGACTGGGTCAGCTCCAGCAGCTGCCGCGTCATCTCCAATGGCATCGCCTCGCGGCAGCCCGAGTGCGAAGGGCGCCATGTCCGACGACCGTCGGAGCAACCAGCAGAGCCCTCAGCAGCCTGCTGGGGGCGCAGCGGTCTCGGTGGCGGGCGACGACATCGGTCTCAGCGTGGACCTCGCCGAGCTCATGCAGACGGACCCCGTCAAGGCGAAGTGGCAGCTCCAGGTCCACAAGGTATCCCACTCGTTGGCCCTGACAGGCAGCAAGGCTCTTGGAAGGCAAAGGAACACTCTGAGGCTCTACGCAACCGAAGCGGACCAGATGGGGCGGAGCGAGGGCGACAGCATGAGGGAGCACGCCGATCTCAACCAGGAGATCGAGAAGCTCATCTCCGAGAATGCCTGGTTCACGATGGCGAGGCCCGCGCTCGACGAGTTGCTCTTCAAGCTCAAGGAGAAGGGCTTCGACTTCCCCACCAAGGCCAAGAACGACTGCGCGGCACGTGCTATCGCGGACTGGTCGCAGAACACGACAGAGAGTCTGGAGACCCGTGTGGCCAGCCTGCTCGACATGGTCCAGGCGTGGCCGAAACCTGGGGAGGAGGCGACGTTTGACCCCTTGCAGCCTCGTGTGCGCCACATGGATGGCTCGCCGAAGGACCTCATGGCTACGATGATGGATACGGTGCTGAAGAAGGTGATCATACCGCTCCTCAAGGACGGTGCCAGCAGCTTCGACTGCTTGCTGAGGGTGATCAGGAACATCATCACTATGATCTCGCAGGCCAGCGACGAGGAGAACCTCGACTTCGAGCCCTACGAGGAGTCGGGGGACACCATGCTCTCGATGCTCCGTGGCATCGCGGTGGTCATACAGCCTGACATTGAACAGCAGCGCGAGCTCCAGGCCACCAACAAAGACTTCGACAAGCTTCAGGCGGCCTCTGCGAACCTGCAGCCAGGCGAACTCAGCGTCATCGCAACGATGAAGCAGAACGGCCACTACAAGACCCTCCTTGCGGAATACATGCGTTGCAAGCCCCACTATGATGATATCATGCCCCGCTTGGCTGAGAGCCAGAAGCAGCTGACGGAGCTCGAGATCACCCGAGGGTTCCAGGACAACAGCCTCATCGTGCTGAATGCTTGGAAGACGAAGCTCGGAGCGGAGAATAAGATACGCAGTGCCCAACTCAAAAGCATGTCAGACTGCCTCGAGACCTCTACCATGGCAGTGCTGACAGATGCGCTCGACTCCGTCAAGAAGAATACGCTTCCACAGAATATGGCAGCCAACTTGAGGGAGCTGCTCACGACGTGTAAGGATGCCAAGTTCGATATCCCCTTCGCCGACGAGCTCAACGCTTTCGTAGAGGCCGCTTCTAAGAGACAGACGGTGGACAGCCATACCACCAGCTTCTGCGACGCCATGGGCTCGTTCAGCTTCACGGCCCCTCGCGACGCCCGCCAGGGGGCTGTAAGCAGCCTGGTCGGGATGGCCAAGACCTACATCGACTTCGGCGTGACGACGAAGAACCAGCGCGTCGAGGACGCGATCTACGCCTTCCTGGGTAACACCATGCTGCACATGGGCAAGGACGAGGACTACAACCTCTTGGAGGGCACCTGCAGTTTCATGATGAGCCAGTGCCAGCTCTGCTCGATCCTGCTGGACGTCGTGGGTGAAGTGCGCCACGACATGGTAGCGACCAAGGCGGCCTTGAATACGCTGAGCGGCCTGCAGTGGGACTTCACCAACGTGTACAACTACATGAAGCTCGGCGACGACGCCGAAAAGCGCATCATGGCCGACAAGAGCTCCGTGGCCCTCAAGCGCTTCGTGGCGGCGAAGGAGGCCATGCTTCAGGTGGAGGGTGTTTCGTGCTGGATGTATTCCAATCCAACTTGTGCAACGCTGCAGTTTACCCAGGGCTCCAGAGGGAGAGGGTGTAGGAAGGAGAATTAGGGGAGATGAGGGAGGAGGAGTCGGAGAAAGGGCGGAATGGTCAAGATACGAGGGGTAGTAATGACGACATGCGGGGGACCAGCAGGAGGGAAGATGAGGGGGGATTCTGAGGAAGGAGTAGGATAATGTAGATCGGGTGCGAGGGGTCTGCTCAAGAGCAGAGTGCTCAGTGTTGCCAGTTGGACGTGGAAGCGCGTCTAGTCGGAGACATCCCAAGGCGAAGGATGACATCTTTCCTGCGTTCTTCGAGCGCTGGTGCGACGAGGTGAATGACATGGCAGCGCAGGCTAAGGAGCTAGACTGCACTGCGCACGTTGATAAGTTCGCGAATGCTGCCGCCAAGCTCGCTCGAGAGTTCGTCTGGGGGTGCGCCTCAGGCAAGTGGTATGACGGGCTCTCGACCGACGACCCGTCCAAGTTGCCCGACTACCACGAGCGCGCCAAGACATCGCTCTACCCGAACTGCTCACCGTCCAAAGCGAAGACCGAGATCGACAGCTTGAATCACAGGATGGAGGCTGCGACCTCCGCCATGAAGATGCACCTTGACGTGGACGAGGGTCGCGCGGAGAAGATGGCGACAGCGGTGGGCGTGCTCAACCGCCTGAGGATCTCGTACTGCGAAGGGATGCTGCTCATCTGCCTTCGCGACTTCGCTGACCAGCCTCTCAAGCTGAAGCGCAACGTCAAATCGCACATGTCCTTCCTGCCCGAGCCGCTTCACGGTGAGTTGCCCTTGCCGCTGTCCACGAAAGTCGAGGAGGTCACGCAGGGCAAGAAATGATGAGTTCTTGTGGGATGCCCACGCAGTTCGCCAGCAGTTTCGCCAGCCTCATATTTAAGTAGAAGCCTGGATGCAGGAACGTGCGAGTTGCTCGAGTTGCTGCGATTCCTGTTTGCAGCTGCTTTGTTATGTTTGCGCTTAGGTTGGGTGCGAGCGGTTGCGCAGCGTGCCCCAGTGTGCTTTTGTTCTTCATGAGAGGTGGGTCGACGAGGGGGAGCGGCACACACGCCGCGCACGTAATGCAGGCAACGTCGCACGACGATGGGGAGGGCTATGGTGCACGCGAGCTTTTCGATTCCAGCGCCTGCCTGCCCAACCGCAGTGACACAAACAAACACAACACTGCATAATCATCATAACCACTGCCATCATCTCATCATCCTTGACCTCCTCATCGTCTGAATTCCCTCGTCCTTTCCCTCTCGTGCTTCGCTCCACCGTCTTCCGTGTTCTCCCTCCTCCTCTGACTACTCGTGCCTTCGCCTTCCCTCGCCTACCCCTTCAGCTAGAATGTCTCATCGCCTCTGCGGCGAGGACTGCGACTGAAGCCCTTCCACGCCTCAAGTGAAATAAGGGGGCTTAGACAAGAGGGAAACGGACGGGGGGATGACGGGAGGATGGGAAAGGCAGGTAGGGAGGAGAGGATGGAGGGGGCGGAGGAGACAGGGGGAGGAGGAGGGGAAGTGGACGGAGTGAGAGGACGAGAAGGAGGAGAAGGGGGAACGGGGCAGAAGGAATGACCAGGAGGGAGGGAAGAAAGGAGGTAGTCTGGAGAAGGGCAGGGGCGTTACGGAAGAGGGGGAGGGAAGGCGGGGGGAGGAGGGCCCACCGTCCCGCCGCGTGGCTGGGCGCACGACGGCGACCAGGAGGCAGCCCGACACTGCCCCTTTTCCCGCCGTTGCGATGCGCCCTGCTCGCCTTGCCTCCTCCTGTTCCTGCCTGGCCTCCTCCTCCTCCTCGCCCGTCCTCGCCTCCAACCCTTGTGGGCTCGATGTTCGGAGACGTCCGCCATGGCACAACGGTGTAACACTGCTTTGGTAGCGGATCGATTTGAAACTTAATCGAAAATACCATTTTGGCAACCATTTGGGTTACTATCTTATTTCGCTCAATTTTTGGGCGACCATTTTGGCGACCATCTGGGCGACCATTTTTTTTTGGGCGACCATTCTGGCAACCATTCGGGCGACCATTCTGGAACCATTTTCGGACATCCAGCCCTGTGCGCAACATCGCCTTCACAACGATAGCCTCAACCTGCCCAGGCACGTTCGGACTCACTATCGGGGGCCTGCAGCCGATCCATCGTCGATGAGCGATGAGTCGTCGATTCCAGGTCGATGCGCCCCACCCTGTGCTGGTCACCCCCCCCCACCGTTGCTCCGCATCGTTCGGGCGGGTGGTACCTGATGGAGAGGGGCTCGCATGGGGGGTGTAAGCAGCAAGGGCCCCAAGGGGCCCTCGGCGGCCCCTTTTGTGATGGGGAAAAGCCACCCAGACCAGACAAGTGGCGTTTGCGAAACGGCCCTGGGCATGGACCAAACAGCCCTGCCCTGTTTGATTCCTTCTTTGGGTGAGTTTGCGAAGCGGCTCCGCGTGTCGGGGGGGTGGTTATTCTCGGGGTGGATTCTCTGCCCTCAATTGTGGCCTCCTGCTGACTCCGAAAGAGGCCCCTTTACTGGGCTCTCTTCTCCAACCCCCTTTTGGGCCACCCCCCCTGCTGCCACCCGCCCGATGCCCGCTGCCCCCCGCTGCCCCCCGGCTACCCCCCGCCCGCTGCCCCCCCGCCAGCCCACCCGCTGCCCCCCGCTGCCCCCCCGCTAACCCACCCGCTACCCCCCCGCTAACCCCCCCGCTGCTGCCCTCCTCCTCCTCCTCCTTCCTCCTCCTCCTCCTCCTCCTCCTCCTCCTCCTCCTCCTCCTCCTCCTCCTCCTCCTCCTCCTCCTCCTCCTCCTCCTCCTCTCCTCCTCCTCCTCCCTCCTCCTCCTCCTCCTCCTCCTCCTCCTCCTCCTCCTCATCCTCTCTCCTCCTCCTCCTCTCCCTTCCTCCTCCTCCTCCTCCTCCTCCTCTCCTCCTCTCCTCCTCCTCCTCCTCCTCCTCCTCCTCCCTCCTCCTCCTCACCCCCCGCGGCCACCCGTCCGGTGCCCCCTTCCGCTCCGCAGCCCCCCCCCCTTCGGCAGCCGTCTCGCTCCGCTCCGTGGCAGCCGTCGGGGGGCCGTTCTTTCGGCCGCCAACGCCCTCTCGGCCCGCGGAGCCGCTGCAGGCCGGGGAGGAGGATGAGGAGCAGGAGGAGCAGGAGGAGGAGGAGGAGGAGGAGGAGGAGAACAATAATGAGGAGGAGCAGGAGGAGGAGGAGGAGGAGGAGCAGGAGGAGGAGGAGGAGGAGGAGGAGGAGGCGGAGGAGGAGGAGGAGGTCGCAGCCTACGCCGCAGGAGGAGGAGCAGGAGGAGGAGGAGGAGGAGGAGGAGGAGGCGGAGGAGGAGGAGGAGGAGGCCGAAGCCGAAGCCGAGGCCGAGGACCGGGCGGAGATTCCCCGGCGTTGGCCCCCGCCTGCCCCCTTCCGGGGGGGGGGGAGGCGTAGGCACTGCTGCCGCGGGCTCTCCTGGCCTCGCTTTCGCCTCTTGCCGGGCCTCCTCTCCTCGGATCCCGTCGGCTACACGTAGGAGTGACCCTTCGCTTGAGTGACCTTTGGTGCGGGCTCATCGGGCCCCCCCCGATCGCCGAGCGCGATGCGATATAAGCGGCCCGCGCCCTTGGGTTTGGCTCCCTCGCGCCCCTAAAAGCTGCGCACGAAAGGTTACTCTTACCCAGGATCACTCTTACCTCTAGCCGATCCTGGGATCGAGCGTAGCTCGGGGGCGGCCAAGAGGTGGGTGACGGCTACTCCACATCCTTTCTGAATCGATCCCCGATAAAAAACCGGACCCCCCCTCCAAATGCGACCTAATGTTCCGGACCCCCCTCTTCGACGGGGCGCCTTAATAAATTGGACCCCCTAAGCTCCAATCCAAAGAAAGCGCCATGATAAACAGGACCCTCCCAGCTACAAAAAAGACGCCTTAAATAACCGGACCCGAGGGACGATTAAGAAGAGATTTGGAGTAGGGGGGGTGGATCTCGTGGCGAGGGCCATGATATTTCCCCTGATCTCATGGCGCCTCTTCGCATTTGCTTACGTCGCCGGCCCCGCCCCCTTGGGCCACGCACGTGCCGCTGGTCATGATTTGCGCCCCCCCTCTTGGACACCCCCTCTTGGCCGCCCCCGATGAGATCCAGCGAAGCGAAAAAGTTGCAACATCGTCAAAAGCCGCGCCCGGAGCCCCATCTTGCTTCGTCACTGTTCGAGCTCTGGATCGATCCGTGAGGGCCTCGGGGCGCGAAAACAAGCGAAAACGCCCGGCTCGAAAACATTGAAACGCTGGGATCTCAGGAAAGTTCTGGTCAGAGCGCACCCCAGGAGATGCCAGGGGAGTAGAGGTATCGGTGCCTTTTGGTTTCTCCGGCCCCGTTTCCTGCGCCCGCCTCCCTTCCTCCTTGAAACCCCGCCCCCCTCTCACAGGGGCTCGTGCACGTCATTGCGCCAAATCGTGCGACTGCGCCTGAACGCCGCGCATCACGCCTACTGGCTGAGCGCCCACGCGTGCACAATCAGGCTGCCTCGTGGTCGACCGACCCGTTCTTCGGTGCTTGCTTCTTCAGTCGTGCGCAGAGTTCCGCTCTACACTGACTGAGGGTGCATCTGATTCAGGGGATCGCCAGAGCAGAAAGCGTCCGTTGGGAGGCTTCGGTATCCATCCGTATCCATTCCCTAGGCCCTTCTTGTCTCCGTCGTCAATATCGGTCGCTGCGAGTGATTTGGGTGTCCTCTCTTGCCTGCGACGCCAGTGGTGACGCCATGTTGTGATAGAGTGGCGACACGACCGTGTGTGCTGCTCCTGCTGCTGCTCACTAGCCCCGATGTTTGAGGAGTTCTCTCGCCTTCCCGTCGAGAGAAATATCGCAAGTCGTTCACCCCTCCTTGGGGTCATCCTCCCAAGGCGCCCGTGTTGAATATTGTTGCTAGTTTGCCTCGAGCTGCGTACCGCTCATGGCTGACCGGCTTGCTTCTTGATTGTCCCCACAATAAAAACATCAGTTTCCTCCTCTTTGTGCCCGCCGCAGGCTCTTCTCCATCCCCTCCTCCTTGCTTCGCCATCCTATCCCCTCATATCTGTCTAGTCCCCCTCCATCGTCTCCCATGCCCTCTCTCCCTCCCTCCACATTCTCCCTCTTTCTTCCCGCTCCCGCTCTCCAGTCCTCACTCCCCCATTTGCATCATCATCAGCAGCAGCATCATCATCATCACCATCATCATCATCATCATCATCATCACCACCATCATCATCATCATCATCATCATTATCATCATCATTATCATCACCAACAACATCAGCATTATCACCATCAGCATCATCATCACCATCACCATCACCATCACCACCATCATCATCATCATCATCATCATCATCATCAGCATCATCATCATCATCATCATCATCATCATCATCATCATCATCATCATCATCATCATCATCATCATCATCGCGCCGTTTTCACTCTCCTGCTCCTCCCTCATCCCCCTGCTCCCCTCCTTCCTCCCCGCTCCCTCATTTCTCCTGAGGTTGCCGCGCGACGTGCAAATTTCTAGTTGACCGCGGACGCTCGCCGGAGAGACAAGACGCGGGCGGAGCCAGACGAGGAGGGAGGAGGAGGACGGACCATAGAGATGCGGAGCAGAAGGGGGGCGGTCGGATAAGGAAGGAGCATGAAGACGACGAGGGCGAGGAGGATGAGGGCGAGGAGGACCAGGAGGAGGAGGAGGAGGAGGAGGAGGAGGAGGAGGAGCGGGGACGAGGAGAAGACGAGGGGGGGAACTGCGGAGGATCGGGCGGGCGGCGTGCACGAGGCAGCATAGAGAGGGGGGGGGTCCGAGGAGCGCCAGAGGCGCGGGCGGCGGGCG